ACTAGAAAAAGTGAAGTGAAAGTGTGAGGAGAAAGGGACTTTTTTGAAAGAAAAAGTAAAGAGAAAAAGAAAGGGATAATTACTGTTGAGCCGAATGCTATTCCTAAATTAGATGACAATGCATTCATCAAAGCTTACAGTACAAAGACTTAAACACGCACCGGGCTTATGCGGCTGAAGGTAGGAAAATTGATATAAGCATATACAAGGAGACAAGCAACAAAAAATAATAATTTTAAACAAGAATGCGAAACTTTGCATGAAATACACCATCAACCACATGTGTGGATTTTTAGACATTTTGAAAGAATGAAATAGATTTCCTGAGCTGACGCATATAGTACTACAAATTTACGTTATAGTACTCCGTAATCTCATTTAGCAGTCACGTTACAGGTAACTTGTAGCTTATAGTACCACAATTGATGCATGTCCAAGAGGAATATACGAAGAATATTATCATCAAAGGTGACATGACAACCGGGAGGTGTAAAATGAAATAAAACGATCATACCCCCGATGATTTTAGGCTTTGAAGCCCCTTCAGGGACATCTGGTAAGAAATTTTTTAGAATTTGAAACAGTCTGGAGCAGCCTGAAGCTTTACATGAAAAACAGAGCAGTCAATCCTTGTATAGATGGACATGATCACTAAAGATACACCAAAACATTGAGAAGGCAACAAAAGAGGCACCAACCTTGTGTGCTTAGAAGTACATTCAAATCTCTTAACTCTGTTATCTGCACAAATATTCTCCAGGATATTGCAGGGTGCCTTGGAAAGCATACAGTTATGCAAAGCAGACAACAAATAGGTTGGTCCAGAAGTTGGCTCTTGGCCTACAAAACAGAGATCATCTTAATTTTGTAACTGACAAGATCAGAACTCCCAAGTGAGCATTGTCCTAGTATTGTCCCTAATTTTGTTGTGAGAAGGTCTTCAAAAGACCTCCCAACACCAGGATTGGTGTGGCTGAAGCTGAGCAAATCATGTATCTGTATGCACAGTTGCACACTCAGTTCAAAAGACTACGAGCAGCATATACAGGCCCCCTGGACTGTGTAAAACCTTGTGTCAACATTGACAGTCACTAAATTACAACTACTGTAGGCGGACAAAAGCATTACGTTGCTCATATCAGGACATAAGTTTTCCATTTTAGGTAAATACAAACACAAGTTTCTAGTAATTCCCTAAAAAAACACAAGTTTCTTGTATGCATTAATCATTTCTCACAAGTACAAACAGAGACTACATGCATTGTCAGATCCTGGAAGTCTAGCAATATGGCTAAACTTCAACATTTCCTCCCATGGACAGACTTGAGAAGCTCAGTCAAGACCGAAGGGCAGCTTGCCTCCAGGTGCCTATACCCCTCCGTCGCCAACACATCATCAAGAACTGCAGGAGTTCTAAGGATGAACTCGACACATTTGGCCTTGAGCTTCAAGCAATTGTGCTGCTCCGCCAAAGCAAGAGTTGTCGCTGCGGTGTCAACAGTGATGCCACCAGACAGCTTTACTTCACAAATCAGCTTGAGCCTATCGAGACCGTACCAGTCAGCAGCCGCAAGCAGATGCTGAGCGAGCGTCGCCACCGCCTCGAGCGGTTGATCAAGCTCGGGCACCGTGTCGGTGTAGATGAAGTGCAGCATGGCCCTGAATGCTGCCACCTCCATGTCCTTCACCTCCACACGTTGCGAGCACTTCTCCTTCATGTCTCCAAAGAACTGGGCCTTGAAAACCGGAGACCTTGCGGCAAGTATGTCCTTGTGTGCAGCAAACGACTCGTCGCACACGAGAAAGGTGACATCGGCTCCCGTCTCGCTCTCCAGGAGCTCGCCGAGGTGCCGGTGCAAATTGGTGGATGGTAGAGTGATCACCTCTTCAGCTGGGATGGTTTGCACTGGTAATTCCTTGAGCATTGTGATGGCACATCGCAGAGTCAAAGAATCGTCCCGGAGATAAGCAGATGGTATGGACTTCCTATTCACGAAGAAGAGTTCTTTGAAGTAGTGGGGTGCAAAGAAGGTCTCCGACACACTGTCCTCTTTAAATGGTTCGAGCTCCCCACTCGGATCTACCAGCTGACAGGCTAGGCTCACTGGGACACCACACTCTGTGCGGGCTTTACTGAGAAACATAAGTCTCAACTTGTTGCCATCTGGATATAAGGGTTTGGCTGCAGGATAGATACCAAGTTCCAAATCCATACCCATCGACATTCCATCTCGATGTGAAGCGATATTCAGAGCTCAGGCTCACGGTCAAGCTAAACCCGTCGATCTTGAGCAGCCGCACCGAGCGCACGACTTGGTTGAGGTTCGTGCAGGCATTTTCCATGGAGAGTGGCCGCAGCTGAAGCTTGTTCTTTGCTTGAGCCTTGAGATGGAAAGTTTCTGAAGTCGGATACACTGAATTAGTACGGCTGATACAGGGGCTAGGCTGACTAGTCCGCCTAATGGAGGAGGTACCTGACGGCTCCGCTCACCGTGCCCCGCCGTGGACGTGCTGCTGGTCGCGGCTTTGCCTGCGAGTTTTGCCGGCACAGGAGACGACGAGGGCCACGGCTGGGCTGAGGTCGATTGGTTGGTCTCCCGGCGGTCGGATTTGGGCCCAGACTAGTACAGTTGAAGACTAATTCTGCGCGTGGACGGTCATGAATTAGTAGAGCTGATGATTACAGGGTTAGCCTGAGAGCATCGGCGCGGACAAGGCCGGCTAGTCGAGGAGGCAAAGGACGACTCACCTGCGAGCCGTGCCGGCGGAGGAGATGACGAGGACAACGGCTGATCTCCCGGCGTCCGGTAAGAGGATCAATCCGGAGAGGTTGCGGCCGGATTTGGGGGGCCAGGCAAGCCGCACCTGCCTTGTCTAGTAGGGAGCGGCGGCGGTGAGGTCGCCCGCGCGGCAAGGAGAGGGAGCGAGGGTGAATCCCGGGGGGCGACGAGGAAAAAGAAGACTGCCGGCGGCGAGTAGAGACGAGTCGACCGAAGGAGACAGTGCAGGTGGGGTGTGATTAGGTGAAAGCATCAAAGGAGTCGAAAAGAAAAGAGTCAATTACACCACTAGTACTTAAACTTGACAAGAAAAGTCATTTTAGTGCCTAAACTTACGACATACATGGAACTGGTGCCATAACTTGGTTCGGGCATGCAAATACGGTGCAAAACTCGTTTGAATACGCATGTAGCGCTGATGAGGCGTGATAGCATGGCGTGGGGCCCATTGTCAGTGACCTCCTCGTGTAGAATAGGCATGTGACGTGTTGGTTTTGCAAAAAAAAAACATCAGAATTTTATTTCTTTGCACGCGAAAGCCCCTGATTGTTGCGAGAACCAGCTGTAGCACAAATTTTATATTAGAGTGAAAAATAACATAAATTAAGACGAAGACTTGAACTGCATACTTGGACCATGCATCCACTCGCTCGGCTAGCCACCCAACCTCTACACCATTTGACAGCTTGGTGGATACACATATCTTGTATCTTTTGCCTAAACAACATAAATTAATAATTTTGGTAATTCTGGAAAAACGCTGCCTTGGGGGATGAACATGAGCCAAAACATACTGTGTTTGTCTTCATTTTTCGAATTTGTCATAAATATGTAAATCCTAATTATAAATAATATACATATAAATAAAATAAATTACACAAAAAGATGCTCGTTAATTCCAAAAAATGCCGACCTATTAATTTAAAAATATCCATAAAATTGAATTACGAATAATACGAATGTTTGTAAATTTTGAAAAGTGTTTGCATATTGAATAGAAATATTAAATTAATTTTATAATATATATGTAAATAAATTTACTTACAAGTTCAAACTTTCAGAAGTTTGTAAATAAAATATTCATGCAGTATATAAAAGAGTTCATGCTTGAATTGTTTTTAATGTTTCTTTATAAGTTTTTATGTGTTTTGATAAAGTTTGTCTGTGTTGAAAAATAACTTAACTATACAAATAGATGTACGGGGAAAATATATGAGCCTAATGTGTCACCTGCAGATGGTGCGACGGTCCACTTATAACAAGGATTCACATATTGGGGTAGCATGCCCGTCAGATTGTGTCCCGCAGGTCCCGTGTTCTACCCCTCATGTCCACATCTTTTTGTTGGAATTAAAATTCTTAATTTATGTTGTTAAATGCAACGACATAAGGACAGAGTATGCTTGTAAGACATGAAGTGTATATCCTTGTGGGTTGGTTAGCTGCGCGGTTCGGCTAGCGGCGGTCGCGGTACGATTCCTCGAGCGTGCAATATTTTCATTCTAACATAACTTGTGCTCTTTCGCTGATAATGGGTCCCGCACCTATCAAGGCTTTTTTACGCAATAAAAAAAGTAGAGGGTGTTTTTGCAAAAACACACGTCACACGCCTGGTCTACAGTACCCAGTCAATGAAAATGGCCCTCCACGCCATGCTGTCATGCTTCGTCATCGCCACATGCATATACAAACGAGTTCTGCACCGTATTTGCACGACGAGCCAAGTTGTGGCATCAATATAATGTATGGCACAAGTTTTGATACTAAAGTAATTTTCCTCACCAAGTTTAAGCACCGGTGGTGTAATTGACTCAAAAGAAAAAGTTGCACTAAAGTCGGTCTCGTTCAAAGTGAAAATACGGATATTGTAAGAAAAAACAAGTAAAAGTACGGAAAGCAAGAGACATTTATATATCGCGCATGCTACGAATCATCCTGCTGATGCCAAAAAAATTTAAGCCGCCTCGCAGACCGTTAGATCAGCTCGACCATGTCCGTTCGATCCCTTCCTCTCAGCGATGGAATGGTCAATGCACACAGTCTCCTCCTGCCATCGCACAGACAGGCCCCTCTCTCCGCTTCGATCTCTTAGCATCGCGAGTCGCCAGCGAGTGCTGCCATGCAACATCCGGAGCCGTCAGCGAGTGTTGCAACGGAGCACGAGTAGCCGCCGGCGAGCACCGCGGTTCAGCACTGGCCGCGAACGCCGCCTGCCGCCCCTTGCGTGCTGCGTTGCAACGACACAATGAGCGCCGCCGCCTCTGATCTCCTCCTTGGTGATGCATTGTAGCACCGGCAACGAGCGCTGCATCGGAGCAACGGGACCCGCCGCGTGAAAGCTCCATTGAAGAGCCGAGCTTCGAGAGCCGCCGGCAAGCGCTATGCTGCCGCACGGGGAGCCGTCCCACGTGAGTGCTAGCTGCATCAGAGAACGGAGTTGCTGTCGGCGAGCGCTCCATTGCAACTTCATCGTCGGCGACTTGTAGCACCAGCAGTGCCGATGAGGCTGCATCTCAGCGTCAGCGCGCGTCGACGAGGTTGCACTGTAGCACCTATGCCCTTCTATAGTGCTGCATCGCAATACCGGCTGGCTCCGGCGAGTGTTGCCTCACAGCGCCGGTGACTCTTAGCGGTGCTTCCAGATGCTCCATGGCAGCAGCTGTGAACGGTGACCCCCACCCCGGAGAGCTAGCGCCATGTTGCAGTGCGCCCCTTGCAAAAGGATGCCTCTCCCTGGACGTTGCAACACGTGCGTCATCCCCGGTCGCCGCTGCGAGCGGCGGCACCGCGGCAAAAAAAATTGCTTGTAGCGCTGGTGGCGACTGTGTTGGATTGCAGCGGGCTTGCAGTCCCTGACGTGGGTTGGAGGGCGAGGGTGGTATGTGGCTGCTTCGTCCCGTTTCAAGAGGAAAGGCGAGAGGAAGAAGATGAGCCACGGCTGGATCCTGGGAAGAGGATAAGGCTGAGGGGATGAGGCTGATCGGTGGGGATGAAGTGGACGGGACCCGCAGAGAACACGTGTCAACCAGAGGAGGCGGTTTGACGGGCAAGAAAATCATTGGGTTTTGAATAAGGACGACGCTACGTGTCCGCGGGTGGATAAAGTTAAAAGATCGGCCACCTCTCTAACCATTGGATGAAGTTGCGAATGACCACGTGATCTACCCATGTGATCCATTGTCTTTGCAACAAATGTGTTGTTGCTTTAATTTCTGCAACATAGGTTCAGTTGCAGAAACTATTCGCAACAAAGGTCATGTTGCAAAAAATTTGGAAACTTTTTTTTCTCTGAACCTGTTGCAAACAAGAGCCTTTTTGCAATAAGAGTCTTATTGCAAAACATCACGTTGCAGAAGACAAAATTCGAGTGCGAATCCCACTCCACACCATCCAGCAACGACCCAGACATGGGCAAGGTCAGGGACAACCGAGGGGTGGAGGCTGCCAAGGCAAGGTGGCGTCGATCTCATCGATGCGGCGCAGATCCGGCGGGAGGCGGCTCGGACGATATCTTCATGGGGTGTTGAAGCGACCAGGAGAGAGGGGAGGACAGACGAAGGAGGAGAGGGAGGGGAGAGCATGCTCGTCTGCCCTGATGCCGACGTGTCTGGTGGTGCACGTGTCTAGAGGCTTTGGGGATGCAGATCTTGCAACAAGCTATTTGTTGCGGGGGAGGAAATTGCAACGGTGGTCCAGTTGCAAACCTATGCTATGGAAAGAGAATGCTTCTAGCCATCTGATTAAAGACATATCCGACAGCGATAAAGGCGATGGGTGCGCGCAAAAAGATCGGTCGGGTGAATAGAAGCATTTCCCTTAGAATAAACGTTTTCCTTTATATATTAGAGAATTATAAAGCGGCTAAAGTCCCACGCCTCCGGTGCGTTCGAAGTGTTTGTCCTATGTGTTTCGAAAAATAGCAAGCTATAGCACTAATAGCACGCTATAGTGTTTTGAAAAATTCGCAATTTGTTAAATAAAATAGTATATAATGTTTTGCTAACAGTGTATTTTAAGGGTGGCGCTATGTTGCTATAGCGCACTTTTTTTTCATTGGTTTAAACTACACTAGATGTTTCTCGTGGACTTCAGAAACTGCGCAGGTTCCATCCTATTGCTTTATCCTCTTGCATCCATCTGGCGCAACCGCATCTTCTTCTCTTCCTCCTCCTCCCAGTTCAGATCCATCCCTCCCTGTGCATCATAAGCGTCGACTATCCCATGGCGCCTCGCCTCTCCCCATGGCAGCAGATGACCACATGCCCCCCGACCTCTCCCACGCCACCGTGCCTACTTTGGCTGGCTATGGGAGCTAGTGGCAGTCGGCACGGATTTCTTTGGATGGATTGTGTAACATTATGGCATCCTCACACCCGACCTCACAATCATGCACTCTCTGTCAATGCCTCTCCCTGCTGGCCACGGGAGCCAGCGCCATGAACTAG